GTAGCAGTAGTAGTAGCAGTAGTAGTAGCAGTAGTAGTAGCAGTACTAGTAGTAGAAGTAGTAGTAGTAGTAGTAGTAGTAGTAGTAGTAATAGTAGTAGTAGCAGTAGTAGAAGCAGGAGTAGCAGCAGCAGCAGGACTAGGAGCAGGAGCAGGAGTAGGAGTGGGAGTAGGAGTAGGAGTAGGAGTAGGAGTAGGAGTAGTAGTAGGAGTAGGAGTAGGAGTAGTAGTAGTAGTAGTAGTAGTAGTAGTAGTAGTATGGAGGAGGAGAGTTGTAGCCGTAGTTGACGTCGTCGTAGTAAGCCAGCAAGTAGTAAGTTGTAGGTAATTGCTGTCAGGGTTGTTGTTCCCAATACTTCAACGTCTTGTTGCGATGATGATAGTAATGACTCATACGGAGAGTTACTAAGTTTCTGGCAGTTCATGATGGTTGGATGGTCATCATTGATATTGCAACATATCGCGACCTCGTGCGGCAGGATTTGGATGCGCCAGCTTCGGCCGTCGAAAGCGCATTTCGTCGCCGAAGCTTAGACTGTCACCCGGACAGGGGCAATGAGGGCAAGTTCGAGAAGTGACGGTCTGGAGTTTTAGTTATTTGTCTTGGATTACGGCTTGATCGTGGAGGACAAGCGGCCGGGCGACCCCACAGCCAAAGCAAAGTTCGAGGTCTGGCTGTGTCGTGTGATTACTCTTCTGTTGCTTCGCTTGCCATGAGCGTTTCGGGAAACAGTTATGATGCCAGGGGATGATATGCGGCGCTTGCAGATGTAGGCTGTGTTTTCTGGGGCATTCTTGCAAGGCATTGGCCGCTGCGAAGGAGTCGGGTGCAGTGGCTTTTTTTGGCTCTTGTGCTAGGGATCGAATTCCGAAAACGAGGAGACACTCCTTGACCCAGACAAGAGAGCTGCTGCAATCTCGGAGGTGAAGCTCTCGCAGGTTGGACAGGCAGGGTGAAGCCACTTGAAGCCTGTTTGGCCTCCCGGGCCTGGAGCTTCCGCCAGGCATCTTTCCTGCGACCGCGTCGTGCAGGCACCCTTGAAGAGAATCCAACCGAAGCACTCAACAGACATGTCCCGAGGTCCGCCTCGAGCTGGAGCTGCAGCGGCCAAGAAACCAGCGGCTTCGCCCGCAGCGGCGAAGCCAGATCCTCCGGCAAAGTCCGGGTTCGTTCCGCCAGCTCAGCGTGAGGCCCATGCACGTGTGCTTTGCTACGATACGGAAGACAGATCGTGCAGAGCACCAGGAGCCAACACCCAGAGCTTCGGTCCCCGACCCAGAGTGCCTTGGCTCTGTTGCGCTACGTGCACATTGCTCTCCTGTGCTTTCACCTTCAACTGCGATTCAGCATGAGGAAAGCTGCTGCAGGGATCTTTTTCAGACATCTCGAGCGGCAGCGCGAGAAGAAGGCGGGTGCCATGTGGTATCCTTCGATTCGCGAGCCAACCATGGTTTGTGCAGGAGCCACGACGAGATTTTCTTCTCCCACACGGGCCATTCCTCAAAACAGTTGGGGAGGACGGGCGGAAAACACCTCCTGCTTCAAGTCAGCACGCACGCCGAACAGGCCAGGGCGACAAAGAAGCGTCCTGTTCAGGGTGCCGCGAGGCAAACGACACACTTGCCTTTTCTTGGTCGTTTTTGTTAGCCTTTCTCCGGTTGCAGGGAGTCGGCCCGGTCTGGGCTCCGTGACGGCGCAGGCATCTCCGGCAAGGCTTCGAGTGTGGCCAGATGTGGAAGACTGCATAGCACTGCAAAGCGGTGCAGGTTAAGCGACTTGCTGAAGCGGTGCACGTACAACCTGCTCCGCCGTGGGTTGGCGGAGGCCTGCCTCGGGAAGTACGTCTTCTTGAACTGAGTTTTGACGATTTGGATCAGGTGAAGGAGCCCAAAGTCAAAGGGTGCCGGTAATTGCACCTACACAGGCCGCTTGGTTGTGGTAGGAGTATTTTTGCAAGGCTTACGTTTCGTGCTACCAGGTGCCGGAACCTGCGCCTGCAACACCGGAGTGCAGAAAGGATGCAACAAGTACCCCGACCTGCCCTCGAGCCGCTCCAGCACCAGAGGGCGTGAAGAAGAAGGACATCCCCGCAGCACGCTGCCTTCCTTTGCCTCTGCTCCTGCCAGCAACGGCAGACATTGGAGCCCTGACCACAGCGGTCGGGCGGGCGACTGGCGCCAAACCCTCCGATGCCGGAGTGCTCGCACGGGTCGTGTCAGTCCTTCGCAGATCCGGTGGCGAGGCGTCCCTCAGGTCGCTAACGCAAAATCCGAAGCGACTGAAGCGGATCTTGTCTCGGTACCCTCGGCTCATCGATGTGCAACTTGGCGGCCTGAGCTGTGTATATGCTAGTTTCCGGTGCAACCCACACGGAAGCAGAGGTATTTTCCCGGCAAGTTCAATGCCACTCAGACTTTGGAGGCAGATGTCTGCGCGAGAACATACAATTTCTGTATATGCATTTCCGGGCCAGTGGAAACAGTCGTGCCGAGCAGGCTCGAACAAGTTGCATGGAATCCCCCCTTCCAGATTCAAGTGCAGAACGATGCAAGCTTTGAATCTTTGCAACCAGGGTTTGTACGGCTGGGTCTCGATTCGTGAATAGAGATGACACCGCCGGATGCACAATACATGTAGATACACACATCGTTCTCAGTTTTCGGTCTTGGCATTCACATCGCGGAGGTCCATGCTCGTCTACGGGGAGCGGAGCTACAGCGGGCGAAAGAGGAAGAGCAAGAACGACTGAGGAAGTCTGAGCGCTGGCAAACCATGGAGGCTTTGCTTACGATGCATGACATCACATTTTACCCCGGTGCTTCCATGCCATCCTTCCATAGGCCGAGCCCATCAATCCTTTCGCACCTTCGGTGGGTCGATTTCAACCAGGATGTCGGCAGCCTGCTGCTGGATGTTGCCTGTATTAGCCACCAGCTCTGCATACTACATTGCGTCCTCAGCTGGCGTTGTACCCGTGTCAATTTCGTGGCGAGGAGCCCGTTTGGCTCTGAAGATGCGCCTCGCCAGGACCAGGACGATTTGCACTCTCAACAGCACATGCGTACTGTAGAACGAGGGAGACTTCATTCCTGCCGACCATTGAGTGTTCCGAGTGCCAGGCCGCTGGGGCAGCCGGTGCGACGGACTGGCAAAAAACAGCCACGTGTCGTTGACGTGGCCCGCCACTTAGGCGACTGCAGTTTCAATGGCTGCCGCGCCCAAGTCTGCTCATCTCAAGCGGTCGTAGTTTGCTTCTTGCAGATGAGGATTCCTCCGACGAGGGCTCGTGCCTGGTCATGCCGCCACCACCTCCAAGAGACTTGGCTGACCCGGCAGATGTCTGCAGACGACGCACAAGTTGTCTCTGGCAGTTGCGGGCTGGTACAGGTGCGCAACCGGGCTCGCAACCGGGCTCTGGCGGCGAGCAACACGACGCTGAGTTCACTTGTGCAGAGGCCTTCGTCTGCATGCGACCATCTCGCCGATTTTATTCATTCACGGACCAGTGTATCTTGTCGAGGCGAATGCATGTGACAATGCGCTTCTGCATGCGTACGCTCATGCAGTGGGAAAATGGAAGGCCGCTTCCTAAGTTATGCTGCCATGGGAGCTCGATGCCTATTGCTGACTCGCTTTTGGCTTCTGTCTTAGGCTTCGAATGACTCGGTGGGGTCTGCCGTGCGACGCCGCGGACTGAGAAGGTCAGGCAGGCGGAAGTACAGTTGGAACGTTAAGAAGCAGGCACGGCCAGGGGCAGCTGGGGCATACAGTTTTGTTTGGGACCTCTTCAGTAACGAGCACTTTGGAGGACGGTGTGGCGCCGCCTAGAGTGCACGAATAGCCAAGGTCTTGAACATGCGACATATGCAGTGAAGCTTGAGTGCGGGGTCTAAACCAGGCACCTTTCTGCTTGAGATCCCCATGCGACTCAAGGGGCCAGCGACACTGGTGATCGGGGAGTCAATTCGCTGCGCCTGGTTTCAAGGTAGGAGGGGCAGGAGAAGAGAAGGCCCTACACCTAGCGCCACCTCCTACAAACGAGGACAAATTTCTGGGTTTCGGAGTCTAATGCCGATGTGGTCCAGGCCCAATCAGTTCCAAGACCTCCGACGATGCTACCACAGTGGGTGCTAGCCTTTGAGGCTACTTCCTGCTTCTTCCTGCCGGTGGTTTGGGGCTACTGCGGCCGGGACACCCTTCCTTGCTGTACTCCTTCGACGTTGCATCGAAGGTGGGGCTCTCCAGTCTACCGGTTTCGATCACGAAACAGGTTATAAGCGTTGCAACACGTTTTTCATTCCTGCCCTGCCCAGGTCCTGTATGAGTATGTCCCGGCAGAAGAGCGATGTGTGGTCATGTGGTCTCCATCTTGTCCTGAAGTGAGTCACAGCTGCATGTGTGATGACGTGCGGATGTTGTCATGACGGCATGATTGCGGGTAAGAGGACCCCTCCACCGCATGGCAGGCACAGGCACACAGCACTTTGCCACTGTGCCAAGGAACGCAGCTCTTTGGACTGTCTTGCCTCTGCCACCGGAAGCGCCCTCTCAAGAGGCATGAGGTGTGTGTTGCAAGGGTGGGTCGAAATGCTCGACAGGCTCCGAGAGCCCCATGTCAGGCGCCTTCCACACCCGAGGCGCCCCCGGAGGAAGAGGAGGACGGTGGTTGGCCCTAGTCGCCTTCGTCTTTGCGCTCATGTGACTCCGCCTCTTCCGTGGCATTGGGACTTGCTCCCTGGACCTCCAGTTGCTCTAGTTGCTGGTCAGGACTCTGACAGTGACGACGTGGACATCGTGGCTTCGCCAGCATGTGGTTAGTTTCAGAATGTTTCAGATCTGCACTCAGTGTGGTGACTGGCGGCTGCCCGAGGACTGCTTGATATGCGATGCTGCTGCTGAAGCTGGGGTGCAACTAAATGGAGAGCCTTGCAGTGAAAGCGCATCGTTCGACGCGGAAAACAGATTCGAGCCTCTCTTCCTGCAGTGCCTCTTCGAAAGCTACACCGACAGACATGTAAACGGTATGCAAACAGCAGCCCCAAAACTAAGCTTCGAGGCGCTGGCTACTGAGCAGAGGAGTCTTTTTTGCATCAGTTTCCATCCCTCCCCTCAAAGTGGCAAGTCTCTGCGATCTTGGTGGCCAGAATGGCAGGAGAAGCTTCCTGGGCAGGTTGGGGCCTTGCGCCTTGGGTGTCAGTGCCTTCTCTTTTGAGTCTCCTGCTCGAGGTTGCCAGCTGATCCGCCGTCACCGGTGCCGGAAGAACCGGCCAGATTCTCGGGCTGGGATTTTGCAAGTGCCGCCGCGCACAAAAATGCTTTAGCGGAGGCACAGGAAGACAGCTTCCCTTGGTGGATGCCCACTTGCCGGGGACTAAACGGAGATCCTTGGCACTTGCAGTGCCACTCCTTGTGCACCCTCTTTGGCAGGCGGCTGCACTCCCATGACAAGACTAACGCAGTTGCCTTGCGAGGCAGTTTCTTGGTTTTCGCCCTTTCTGATTTGTGCAAGAGTGCTTTTGCAGGCACGGGGTGAGATCCTCGACTGCGAGCCCGCAGCACCAACCGCAGCCATGGCAGCCACAAGCGAAGCTCACACTGGCCCAGAAGATTTCTCCGATGTCCCGTCCTCGGGAGATTACACGTAGGATGCACTGCACGTGGCAGCTTGAGGTCGTTAAAGCACGCATGCGCACCTCTGCATGCAACCCCACGCACAGGCACAGGAGGATCTCTATCATGAGCTGTGCACTCGGACTGTGACTTGAACATGGTACGAGTTCGGGCATCGACAACTCTGCTTTTCTACATGTGTGCCCAGGGTCAATGCCCTGATGCGGCTGTGCGCCAAGTGGAACGACTCGGATCGTGGACTCCACGTGGAATCCGTCGGCCCCGCTGAGATTGCAAGCGACAGGAGCGGCTGCTCACTGCCCTTCGGCATGAGATGTTGCCAGGTTGCGCCAGATCCCTTCATGCCTCAAGTGCTACAAGAAGAGCTCAGGCTCTGTGGCTTTCCAATCTTACCAGTTCTGCAGGCCTTGCAAGCTCCAGGGCCCCGCCTGCGAGCCAGGACTTACAGTCGACAAAGGCATTTCTCAAGAGATGTATCTCGAGAGTCAGAGGACAGCAGGCAGTGGCGAGTGCTTGTAGACCGGTGCCTGGAAAAGCTTGACGAGCGTGGCCACGCTGCAGGGCCTTTGCCAACCAGATGCCGCAATCGCCACAGAAGAGCTCGAAGCACTCCGACCCAGCTGCCACTGCGTGCTTCTTGGACCGCTGTTCTGGCTGTGCTGTCGATGTTGTCAAGGAAATCAGCGGGAGTCCAATTGGCTGTCACTGCTGCATCTCGGGAGAGCGATGGTCAGGCAATTTGTGGCGATGGGCATATGAGACGAGTCCTTAGAGATGTTCCCTGGTGCAGGGGCCTGCCATCCAGGGAGGGCGACATCGAGCGTGGCTCTCAGACGACCGGGGTCTGAGAGGTGTTTCTGCTGTGCATGAGTGAAGCACTGAAGAAGCATGCTAAGCCGCTAAGCGATCCACTTGATGAAGGCGCTCAGTGTTTCTTCGAGCCGTCAGCGCAGGCATCCTTGAGCTTGCGATAGCTTGCGAGCTGGCGCTGTAGGTGTGCGTTGTACCCTCATGAACATGATTTACTCGGTTTCGCGGCTGTGCCGAAGATGCAGCCATCACGCGTGCTGTGCCATCCCTTTCCGACTTCGGTGTGGGCATATTTTTAGTTTGATTCTGCCGAGCATGCAGCAACAGCCTTACCTGTTCTGTCCTGCAGGTTTCTGGAGCGGTTGAGGGCTTGAGGTTCATGTGTTCCCCGACAGGTTTTGGATTGGGTAGAGACTGTCAGGCTAACATGCTGTGACAGTGAGTATATGATGAGGGTTGAGAGCTTTGCCTTTTTTCTGTGGGCTCTGAGCCGTAGTCGTCGATTGAGGAGGAGGCGTGTTCCAGAATGTAGTATGCCGATGCTGCCACAGTGGTTCTGATCATGCTGCTATTTGCAGCCAATGCCGAAGGTCAGGTTGAGGGTAAAGTAGGTTTTCTCGGACAATGCACAGCACATAGCGGACATAGCGTGCATCGATGATGTTCTTCGAAGTATCTACTCGAGCTTTATCTTTAATTTACGAGCTGGCGCGAGAGCCGCCTCGGAGCCGGCCCCGCGATCCACTGTGCTTGTCCGCAGCTGTTTCGGGCGTTGCAAGCAGCGAGACCCAAACCTCACGTTTCGGGGCTTCCACCATGGCAGGTGTTGATAAGCTCGTTGTCGTTTCTGCTAGGACTGCTAGGATCATGTTTACGCGTTCGAGGTGACTCTGGGTGGTGGTTGGAGGGGGGGGCAAGCCCAGGCTCCTGGGGGCGGGACGCGCGGCGAAGCTGTTGAAACATGACGGGCCCCCCGACCGAACCCTTCCAAAAATTACTGGAACCCTTCTGCCCCCCGGCCTTCGGCCTGGGACTTACAGCGCCCCCCGCCTCTAAAGCGAAGCCATGCGCTTGGCTTCGTCAAATGCGGCCCATGCGAAGCACGAGTTAAGATCTTTCGTGCTGCGAGCTGACATCCAATATTCTGTTGACATGCAGCGAGATCGTGTTCAAACACCGGCTTCGTAGTTATCTCAGCTGACTTGCCGTTTTTGCGTCGTGCAGCCATCTTTCTTCCTCCTTTGTTTCGTCGTGATAGCTCAACCTTTGGGTCTAAAGATCTACACCACCCCGCGCCTCATATGTTAGCCATTACCCATGCATTGCCAAGCATGTCATCCTCGAAGTGCAACTTTGGCCACCGTCTCGCAGCGGCTGAGAGCTGCAATGCAGCAACCTCAGTGGCCGCTTGAAAATGTCATTCCACGCGCTTGAAGGCAGCACCGGCTGTTGGGACCGAAGAAGGGCCTTGCTGCTTGAGCCTCGAGAGGAAACTTTGTAGCAGTTCTTGGAGGAACGTGGCTCACGCCTGAGGTGCACTTCGGTCACGAAAACTGGAACATGGTGCTGGTCCAAGCTGCTGCAAGCACGGAAGAGTGGAAGAGCTTATGAGGCAAGCTTTCAGCATGGCGTGTCCAGTGCAGGTGCTCAGCATGATGATTGGCATCCGGATGTCTGTGGGACGTTCCGGGCATGCCATCCGTGTTTTTCTCTTCTGGGTTAATTGTTTCTGTTGCAGCAGAGCATTTGCAGCTAAAGTTCATTGGACACATTGTGCCCTTGTCACACAGCAGGCAAGAGCTGCACAGAGAGCTGCAGCCGGTGGACTTTATCATGAAGGATCCGCTTTCTCTCATCGCCGCTAGGTACCTTTGGCCGCCGCAATGCCCATGTCACAGTCATGCAGTAGCAATCATGTGGGCAGAAAGCACGGTTCAACAAGAAGACAACTCAAATCCAGTTCTGCTGTTGGCAGCAGTGGCGATGTTTGACCCCATGCAATATTGATGCCAATGCTTCGTGGTCATGCTTTGGCTACAGAGCGGTTCGTAGGCATGTGCGCATGTGGGGTCTTGGGTCATAGAAGCAATCGTCTTAGAACCAGAGCCGCTCTGACCTACAGTGTGTTCAATTTGTCCCAACCAAGCAAGCAGACACACGTGTCATGGGATGTTGTAGATCACATTGCGGCAGTGTTGTCAGCTTGCCCTAATTGGGCTGGACGATCACCCTATACCAAGCTTAACAGCTGACCTTCAGGGTTTCTGCTCACTTAGTGTTGGCCCCTTGGCCTCTTCCTTCTGGCGCACGGGCGCTGAGAGCGCGAGCCTTCGAGCTTCTTCTGTCCTTCGGGTGCCGTACGAAAGAGAAGTGTGCACCTCGAGGTGAATCTGCCAGAGGAGCGGAGGTGCTGCTGTTGGTGCGCTTAGGATGCCTGCTTCTGGGCAGCATCTTCAGTTATCTTTTGCTCTTCTCTTTTCCGAACAGTCAGAACATACAGCAGGGATCACCTGCTCAACGGAAAAGCCTTGATGCGATTCATGAGCTTCTCTGCTGGTTACAGCAGACGGGTCGGTGGCAGCACTTCACTGAACCTTTGTTGATCCTCGCAGTGTTGTGCCAGCATTGCCTCCTGGACCAAGGATGAGGACTTTGACCCCTGGGCAACTGCCGTGGCAGACGGAACATCTTCTGCCTTGAAGAAGGCGTCGAAGAAGAAGATGCTCGGCCTGATTGCATGCTTCGTGTGCTTCAGTTTCCCACACCTGCAAGCCTTGGAACGTGAAAACATTGGCCCCGGCTAGAGTTTATCGGGGCATAGGCTGACCATGTACAGTACGTGTGTGTGTGTGTGTGTGTGTGTGGGGCGTGTGCGTGCCTCTACCTGTCTCATTCCGTCTGCATGGCTGCGATGTGCCGAAATGTGTTTTGGAGTCTGCTTGCTCGTTTCTCCAGACCAGATATGGGGTTCCGCAGTTCACTGGTAACTTATCCAGGGGTGGTTGTAGTCTCACACTATTTGGGGAAGGTCAGGGTTGCCCATCTTTCTGGAAACTCCCATACTGGAGTCCCTTTCCAGGGACGTCTGGGGCAGCTTCCGGGCGGGTGAAGCCGAAGCGCTCAGCGACTCAGAGGCTGCCAAGCCGGGAAAACAAGGCGCCCGGGGCTGCATTGACATCCAATACTGGTCTGCTTAGGGTTTAAGGGTTCGTTCAAAAGGAGTATCTCTCGATTTAGCTATCTTCCTGTGTTTTCCTGGTTTTTGGCATCTGCATCTATATACCCCCAGCATGCTGGCACTGCAAAAGAAACGAGTGTGGCTGAAACAGGCGTGTATGATGTGACAGTGTATGAGTGTATGATCGTGTACGTATACATACGTACAGTGCACTCATACCAACACACAGGCCAGCATGCATATACATACCTTGTAGTACATTAGTCAGCATGGTACCGCCGGTGCAGATGTGCTCCCGTCGGCATGTATGTGCACCTGTATACTTGCAGTACTTTAATAAGTTCATACTGGTATGGAGCGTTTGTCGACTCTTGTGTCGACCGAATCCTCGCCTGACGTGTCGATTGCGAGTGCATTTGTGCACACGTATGTCTGGACGTTTCTATGCGAACATTTCTGTTGGCCTGTCTGCATCTGCTTGCGCGCATATGCCCTGGTATGTGCATCGGTGAATGTGTGCATGCATGTATGAGCTCATGTCCGCTTGCATGTCCATGTACATGTATAATGCATGAATCTCTGACAATGCACTTTGTGTGCCTGTAATGTATACCGCCGCGTACGTATGTTTGCAGGAATGCATGTATGTAGTGTGTGCTCACGCATGATGGTATGTCCGTGTGTGTGTGTGTCTGATTTTGCACTTCTGTAGGTATCTGTCGATGTAGGTAGGTAGGTGGGTAGGTAGGGTGGTATGTCTGTATGTGTGTGAGTATGCAAGTCTTAGGTATGTATGTATGTTGTATGTATGTATGTATGTATGTATGTATGTATGTACGTATGCATATATATATATATATATATGCACGCATGTAGGCTTGTATGTATGTCTGTATGTATGTCTGTACGCCAGCATGTACGTTTGCTTGTTTGTTCAGCTGGGTAGCCAGATAGTTAGACAGGCAGGCAGTTTTTCCTGTGTGTAGGGTACGTAGGTAGGTAGGCAGGCCGGTAGGTACGTAGGTAGGTAGGTAGTTAGGCAGGCATGTGTATCTTGCACGTGAGATGTTCGATTGAGAATACATGCATATGTAGGTGTCTGTATGTGTACATGCGTGTAGGTGCATTTGTTTGTACGTTGGTGCATTTGTCTATGCGTTAGCATGCCTGTCAGCGGGTATGCACATGTGATTACCTACCAGTATGTGTGACTATATAACGTTTGTATGTATGCATGCCGGCATGCATGTACGTGTGGACGGGGCCGTACAAGACATGTCCGAACTTAGCATCCGTGCAGGGTCCGGCAAAAAGAAGAAGGGCGACAGCAAGAAGGCAGGGGTTTCTTTGCCAAGCTTTGCTGCCTGGAAATGTGTCTTTTTGCCTTCAGCCTAGCGGCCCTTCCGGACCAAACCTGGCGAGAAGAAGTGGCCTGGCCCAGGGGTTCTTTCCGAGTTCTGCTATTCTGAAGACAGCACTCCTACGGCCCTACGGTCTCAGATGTTTCTAAGGAGTGATGGATCACAAGATATCCGGTTCCGTCGAGTCTTGGAGCAACACTTACGGAGTCTTGTTTGCAGCTAAAACGGCAGCCGCTTCCCTGCGCCAACGGTGGTCCAATGGTCACCTATGTCAGGCTGGATTCGCCCCTTCCAACACGTGGGCCACCCGAAAGCAAACAAACACGGAGGCTGTTTGCTGAAGAGGGTATGCTGTCGACTTGGCCGATAGTCCGATAGTTGCACAACAGCCCAAACCATATCGCTCCTTGCAGGCAAACTTTACATCCACGCAAAAGACCTCGTAGGTGGCGTGGGGCAGCTGGACAGCAGTTGTTATTGCCGAACGTCTCGCGATTCCTCACGATCACTGCTGCAAGAGTAGCAGTAGCAGCTCTGGATGAGGTTTCTTCCCACTGGCGCTTCTGTAGAATTCTACGTCTTCGAAGATGATGCCGGTCTTGGTGCAGAGGAGTGCGCTCTAGCAGAGTGGAGGCTCGTCTGCAGTTTTGTAGCCGGACCGCCATGATCCCTGTTCCGAGAGAGCGCTTGAATTGACCGCCTCCAAGGAACGGCAAAGGTGGCAAGGGCTGGGGTTCCAAGGGCTGGGATGCCGGTAAGGGGTGGGGCAAGGGCATGTGGGACATGGGCAAAGGCTGGGCCAAAGGCATGTGGGGCGGGTTTGATGGCTGGACCGGCGGAGGAAAGAAAGGCTGGGATGGTGGCAAAGGACCGCCAACCGAAGACTGGCTGTGACTTACCGCTGCGGAGGGCTCTGTTTGTCGAATCGCTTCAGCCTGTCTGCAGGATTCGGTGGCAAAGGCAAGGACTCCAAGAGTTCCGGAAAGGGAGAGCCGCTCGTTTGTCCAAGATGTTCCGCTTTTGTAAATGGTCCCACGGTCCCAGTACTGGCCGAGGTGGGGCGGCAAGGAACGCTCGAAAGGAGGCCGGTGCAAGAATTGGGCAAGTGGGATGGAGATGGATGGAGCGAACGTGACCCGCTTTGAAGCACAGCTGTCGTGAGCTGGTGCAGGCGATGGTGCCAAAGGTGCGGGTCCGAGACTCAAGGGGTCAGGGATTCGGGCTTGCCACCTTGGATCTTGGTCGAGGGTTGGGGCTTCGGGATCCAGGCGTATAGGGCCAGCTTTGGCATTGTCGTCCTACTGTCGGGTTTGACATGGCTTCGGGTCTTGGGATCCAGCTCGCTAACGACAGATGGGTCGAGAGGGTTTAGGTCCAGTTTAGGTCTAAACTCAAGTTCGTCGTCCCTCTTCCCAGGCATCGAACTGGAGGCCCCGGGTCTCGACAAACAAGCCATCTATAGCCACCTGCTAGCAGGAATCCAGACAGTGAGCCAGTAAACCAAGGTGCCAAAGACGGCAAAGGCAAAGCTTCCAAAGGTCGGGCTCCATACGCTCCGGGGAGCGTGTGGGATGTTCCGAGCCGTGTTTCCTTATCTGGATCTGTGAAGCCTAATATCGGGATATGAGCTCGGAGGTTCCACTCAGACGGTTGCTGCCAAGGAGCCGCAGCCCGGTTTCTCGGCTTTGAGCTTCAGCGGGTCTGCACGACGGCCATGGCTGGGTTAGAGGGTCTCGATTCTTGCGTCGTCCGCTGTTGACACCACGATGAAGTTTCCCACCTGTCGGTGCATCCTGGGACCCCAGCACCAAGGGCAGGTAGATCCCTGGCTTCCAAGTGACACCGCTTGCATCGTGTGGGTGGCCCATGGGTCGCCCTCGGCCTCTTCGTGGCGTTGCTGTAACATGTATGTGACTGTCCCTACAACTCATATCCAACTTCGTGATAGCACTGCCGGGTGCACTTGTCTATCGTTGAATCTTGTTGTCTACTGGTTACATTTGTTCGATGTGGCTCTGGGCCGGCGCTTTACCCATTATTGATTTGGACCTCGTCAATCGTCAGCTTCGCTCCGCCTTTCTGCTGACAACTTTGTCATTGTCACGATAGCGGATTTCCGGTTGCAAGCTGGAGACATGAATTGGTTGATTTCTCGGAGAAGCGTTAGAAGCAACTTTGTAATCACAACAGCGTAGCTCTCCATTCACAGTTTCGACTGCCAAGTACTCGGAGTGTTTCGTCTAGCTTCAAGGATTGCACCTGCTGACGCCGTCGCGTCATATTGGTTTCAATCGCTCTTGATCAGTTTTGAAAGTCCTGTTGTTGTTCGACAGGCATCTGGATTTTTGCAATTTCCGACGGCCACCTATTGTGCACTATTACTCTTCTTGTCGGATGTTGCCTTCCATTAACGTGCCGGAGACTGTCGCTCGCGGCCTGTGTACGCGTATCCGGCTTCAACGGATAGCAAACCGCCTGCACCAAAGCTTACCAAGCGAACCTTCATGAAAGAAGAGTAGCGTCTTTTCCTCGTCATTGTCATTCCAAGTTGCAAGCAGCTGCCAACCGGTTGAGGTGTAAGCGACTTCGACCAGGACGGCTTCGCACGGGCTTTGGTGCAAGTGATGCTGTTCGGGCTGAGCATGGCGTGCTCTTGGACCCCTGCGAGGTTCATTCTGATTGGTCGCACTACACGGGCTTGGGGGGCTTGGCAGCCGGTGCTACTGGGCCCAGCGCAGGCCGCAGCCTTGCCGGGGGACCGTTGTGGGCACCGTGTCTCTCCTGCATAGGCAGCGGCTTCGCGGCAGCCACCGGGTGCACTGGCCAGGTGAGAGCCGAATGCCGCAGACAGTTCACAGCAGTTCGGTGCAGACGGCTCGTAAGGAATGCACGTTCGTATCGCGGCTCAACAAAAAAGTTAAAGTTAGTTGACAGGCCCAGATTTTCTAGCATTCGGCTACCCAGCAGTGCGTTGGGACCGGCTTCGACATGGTGGTTCAGTGGGGAATCCTCGGCTGTGCTGGCATCGCACGGAAGTTTTGTGCTTCGGTCAGCCGCATAGACAACGCCGTCATTGCTGCTGTGGCTTCAAGAACTGCAGGAAAGGCCGATGATTTCATCGCCGAGAACTGTCCTGGTTCCAAGGCTTATGCCAGTTATGAGGAACTGCTGGCTGATGCTTCGATAGAGGCTGTCTATATTCCTGTGCCTACAAGTGTCAAAACCGAGCTTGTGCTCAAAGTAGCGGCTGCTAAGAAACATGTTCTGGTGGAAAAGCCACTTGCCAGTGCAGCCGATGTTAAGTTGATGATCGACGCTTGCAAGGAGGCGGGAGTGCAGTTCATGGACAATACAGTGTTTCTGCACAATGCCCGGCAAGACTCCATCAGAAGCGTCTTGAGCGACGGTGGCATGTTTGGCGATTTGCGACATGTAGACTCCACTTTCAGTATCCACTGCGCCAACGATGAGGCATGGGCCGCTGACAACATTCGCATGAAGAAATCTTTGGAGCCGCTTGGATGTTTGGGTGACCTTGGCTGGTACAATGTTCGTCTGACGCTCTGGGCCTTCCAGTACTCGCTCCCGACAAGTGTGTCGTGCACTTACGTGGAGCACACGGAAGAAATTGTCCCTATCCATGTTATGGCACAGATGCGCTTCGGCAACAAGACCGGGAGTTTCATGTGTTCCTTCAAGTCTGCTTTCCGGAACAATGCTGAGTTTGTCGGCTCAAAGGCCGTCTTATCACTCGAAGATTTTGTCGTCACCGGAAAGCTGGATGCGGCGAGCTATAAGGTCACGCAGACCACGTTTGGCGCGAAGGACGAGACCTTTCCACTTGTGACTTTGAAGGATGAAGAGCTGAAAACCGGCGTTCAACATGCGAAGCTTGTGGAGACGTTCTCCAGCTTGGTGGCCTCGGGCAAGGTGGACGAAAGATGGCCCGAACAAACATATCAAACTCAGCTAGTCTTGGATGCAATGGTCAAATCTGCTGCGCAAGGAGGCATGTGGATCTCCTTGTAATTGTCTTGGATGTAGTTAGGTCAATTTTTAGTCCATGTCAAGATGCAGTGGTGTCGAAGACAACAGTCGAAAACACAAGTTGCATGCTGGGGTGATCGCGATGCCCCTTTAGGTGACTGCTGCATCGTGCTTGGTAGCCAACCTTTGCAAGTGCCCTGACCTCTGGAGGCCCCGTGCCGCAACTCGGATGGAAGCAGTTATCTGCAACCAGCTTGTCAAGGTGATGTTCGTCGACGAAAGCAGGGGGGAATGTTTGTCAAATCCAGTGATGCGACTGAGATACATCTCGTCTAATTCCAAGGACAACCCATCCTAAGTGCCGCCGGCACTGCGCCACTTCTTGGTGCCAGTGCAAACATGAAGTGCCGTGGCTGACCTGTGCTTCAGAACTGTCCTTCGAACATCTTTGAACATGCGTCGGATCCTTTCTCCTGAGGCCGATGGGCGGCAAGCCTCTACAAGGTGCCGTTCGTTAGGGCAGAGTAATGCGCAGCTGAGAAGAGCTGATTTGCACCAGCCCGACGCGCCTGCAGGGGTTCCGGAAGCAAGCTGGAGCGAGGCTGTGGTGAGAGATTGTAATTATATTGTTTGGATTGCTTTTTGCCTGAAGGTTGCTCCACCAGCTCCCTACTTGAAGCTTGGCTTCCGTTTGGATTCCGCCAGACCTCTTGCAGCTTGCACTTCGCTACGCTGTGCTGCGCTGCAGGATGAACAGTGTGGGACCAGCTCCGCCTGTCGCTGGCTAAGAGTGTCGGCAGGGCTCTGAAAAGAGCGCGAAGCTGGCTAAGCTGAGGCCATGGGAAGTATGCATGTGAACCCGGTCCCTTACGGGCGGGAAACTGAGCAGCTGGCTTGAAGGGTCCAAATCGACACCTTGGTAGCCCCCTTCCGAGGTCCTACAGCATGATGCCTGGCATGCTCAACCCGACCGTGCCACAGCAAGTAGCAATGAGACTTAGCTCACCAGAATAGCTACAAATGTCTAGGTTACGAGAGAGGCCGAGCGAGCGGTTGGAAATGTCAAACTAAGGAGCAATCCAGCAGCCTGGCGCGAATTAGCACCAGCCGACACAGCTAGCATGCAAGCACGTGATCACACAAGCTTTTGGAAGCACTTGTTGAGAAGAGTCTCGTTTTCTTTGCGAGCCACCCCTGCAGGCTATGGGCTTAGGACCCGGACTTTATCACGCTCATGCCTGGTCGCTGAGTTTCTGGGTTTCTGGGGCATCGGATTCTGTCAAGATGTGACAGCATAGAATTCAGGTGCCGCCCCCTCCTCCAGGCGGTCCAGGCCAGAATGCGACTCGGATAGCCAAGGCCGTGCGTGCAAGTGTGCCGGACAGGTCCGTACGAACGCCCAGTTGAAGGGGTGCCGGCTGGACCTGTTGGAGCTTGGCCGACCTGGACTGGCTAGGACGCGACATTCCAAATTTCTTTTCATGGGGGGTTTCCTGCCGTCTCCGCAACTGAGACTGGCAGGATCTTTCCAGGAATTGCATGCGGTGACTTCGACCGCCCTGAGAGTTGCAGGGACGAAGATAGCTGTCGATCGATCTCTTCCCGATTTTCACAAGATCTTCTGAGGCTCCACGCGCTCAACAGCAACACCCAAACGCCAAGCAGCAAACGAGCAGTATCTTGCAAAAGAACTGTATCAGATGTTAGGCCTTTGATGATATGACGAGCCATGCTCGACCGATCTGCCTGGATAAATGGAAGCCACCTCTTGCTGACCAAAGGTGTTTCCGTCGCCAGAGTGGAGGGTTGTGTTCGTTGTGGCAGCTGCCTCTAGCTTTGGGGGCCGTGCTGCCTGTCAGTGTATCTGCTTGTGCATGGCAGTGCCTAGATTGTGCTGCTTTAGCTTCTGTCCACGCAAGTGATGGCGCTGTGCTGTCAGACGGTGCCTGTTTAGGACAAGGCATAAAGAGGCAGGAGGTGAGGGGCGAGGGGTGCCTCTCCTGAGATGGACAGCAAGCGCACATTGTCGTAGCTTCTCCGAGATTGGCGGTCATCTGCCATCAACAAGGTGCAGCTTGTCCGGCTGAGTTGATCCGACGAGGATCACTCACCGGCGGATGTTGACTATCTGTGCATGTAACTTAGCTAAAGATATCCAGAGAGAGGAATGACCCGTAGCAGCTTCTCGCAGCACCTTGCCTGTAGTCTGTTCAAGTGTCGCTGCATGGAAAAATCGCGCTGCTACTACCTGCTGCCGCTTCGTGTCTGCTGTGGCTTGTTATGGTTCGCGCGTCCAGCGGCAGAGACCTTCGGCAAGGAGAAATTCAGCATCCTCCCGCGGTTGGCAAACATCTTTGATGCCACTGTCTCCAAGCCAGCCTCTCAAGTGCGGTCACTTATCGCGAGTCTGCTCACAAAATCATTTTCTGCGGTGGTACCGACCGTCAGGCGTGTCAAAGTGACTCGATTCATAGACTACGCCCCAATGGTGTTCCAGCGGGATCCTTGTGTGGCGGGACTGCAACCGACTCGGGTTGCCTAAACCTGCGTACCTGAAGACTCTATCTGTAAGGCGGATACGTGCCAGCTTTGGCATCCACAGCGACGACTATCTTCGCTCAGTCGGGCCTGAGCAGCTGCTGGGCAACATGGCTCTCGGCCTCAGCTCACATCGGGATGGCTCGGGAGTGACGCAGCAGTCACCCAGCCATCTTCATAAGGTCTTGGGCAACTTGTCCTCCCTGTCGGAGCTGTCCTCTGAGGGCAAGAGTCATGATCTTACAGTCTCGTCTGAGCAATGCATTTTCCCGAAGCTTTTCCTTACCAGTGCTGCGAAGCTGCGAAGGTGGTGCCTTTTTCTACTACACATCGGACGGGCGCCTTGGCTGCCGCTGTTCAGACTTCTATCGTCACAGGGTGGTCGGAGCATTTCGACTGTTTGTAGGCACCATGGCAAAGAGCGAAGTTTCTTTCCGAGAGCTGCAACGTGTGTCGTCCACACAGCCGAGGAAATACATGATGAAAACCGTCACACACAAGGCCGCTTTGCGAGAGTAGACGGCGACCACTGTACCATGCGCCGATGAAGTTGCCAGGAGCAGATGTTGCTCAAGAAAATGCTGAAGAAGTATTATGCGGCTCGGCCCCAAAATAAAAAGCCCAACTATGCTCTGAGACAGGCTCCACCCAACAGGCAAAGCTCGGGTTTGAATTGCAACGAGACTGTCTCAAAGTTGCAGCCTCTCATTTCCCATGCTGGAAAATAAGCCGATTCTTTGGATGTGTGGCCTTTCGGAAGTAGGCTTTCATGTCAATCACGGCGCGGCGTAGCATCTCAGTTCCCAACTTCATACCCCGACACTAAGGACCACATCACGCAGAACCAGGGCACACTTCTGGTGCGATTTCTGGGGTTGCACGTGCCCCAAGGGAATGTGGTGTTTCTGCAGAATCTACCCAAGGTTCAGCTTCTCTTGAATGCCGAATGCTTGGAGTGAGAGTAGAGTAACAGAAATGGGCCGGCAGGCATGGGAAAGTTTTGCTCCGGGTGCACGCGTTTTTCTTCTCGGCCTTGCCAAGGCATTGCCTTAGCGTCCACAAAAATCGCAAGGCCGATGGTGCACTGCCAGCTGCAGCCATCCCGTGTTTGTAAGAATCGCTCAGTTGTGGGTGCAGATCCTGCTCCCTCAAATTGTCGATTGGCATCACACGAGTTTTATTCGTGAATTTGTGCTGCTGTTAAATTCGATTCGAGATGTGCTCTCATGTCACACAGCCTAGCAAAAACACATACTGTACACTAGAACTTTAGAACCACACAGACTGGTGATAAGTCGATCTGATGCTGTCTGATGACGTGTTTTTGCTGGCTTCATTCGGCTCACTGGCTCGGGACTGGCTGCCTTTTACTGACCTGCGAGAGCCCCGTGAGAGACCCGTCTCTCTCGAAACCGTGGACCATGTCTTCGAGGAGGAGTGGGCTGGAGAGCTCCCATGTCACAGATGTGCAGATGAGGGCAAGCTCCCTCGAAGACAGCCCGGCGCATTGCCCCTCTGCGAATCTTGCAGCCTGCCAATTCCATGGCAGTGAGCGCCATGGTCTCCGAGCGGCAATGAGATGGCGACTTCTACTCCGGTCCGTTTGATGTAGTTGTTGGCTGATTCCGGAGATGCGAAGTGGCAATATGAGCAATCTGCTGTGGCTTAGAATGGGCGAGAGGGAGAGAGAGAGCAAGCAAGAGAGAGAGAGAGAGAGACAGCATAGTGTTTGCTTTGTTTCCTGACTTCTCTTTCAGCTGGAGCCCCGCATTCAGTGATACCGCGGATTTGCAGAGATCACTGGCTTGACATGTAAAGGTTCCACAATTGTAAGGGGGAAACCTCTGACCAAATGCGCCCGAACAACCATGAGGTGCAAATTCGCCTCCATGAGGGGGATGTCACTTGCCCTCTTGCCTTTCAGCTATTTACGCATTTCGGTTCTGCAGATGGCAGAGCTGACATCCCGATGCATGTTTCTGTTGAGAGCATACGCTTCTCGCGTCTTCATTGTCGTATTCTTTACGGTTTTAGCTAGCGAAGTTTTACAACCGACAGACGAACCAGGGCGCGCTCACGCGCAGGGAGGGTGCTGCGCGCTCTCCTTTGGCTGTGCAGAAAAAGAGAGAGAGAGAGAGAGAGAGAGAGAGCGAGAGAGAGAAAACAGAGCCCCCATGGGGGAGGGCGTGCCTGCCCGCCTTCGTTCTGAAGCAAGCAAGGGACTGCTAGCGCCTCAGCCTCATGCCCCAAGCAAAGCAAAGCAGAGAGAGAGAGAAAGAGACATCAGCTGCTCGCAGGGTTCACTCAGGCTCAACGTGACCGCCTCAGGAGAGCTACGTGCGAAGAATATACTATGCCGTGTTTTTACGTCTCCTGGCAGGATTGAAGAGCCAGTAGTTTCTACGAGGGCCGAGCACCGAACAGAACCGAGCCACGTAGCGAAAGGTGGGATCACACAAACCAGCCTTATAGTCGTGTCCTTTGTTGCTTGCAAGTGCGACCCTGCCGGGACATCATACGCAGCTGATGACTGATGTGCTATTGGTTTTCAGTGATGTGGCCGTGGCTTCGAAGTGTCGCAACATGCTGCTAACTTCAACACACAGCATGCTTTAGCTGTCATGAGTCCAAATAAAACCAGGACCAGGAGGGCATAGGACGTTGTTCAGGGGGATCGATGACTCACGCAGTGTTCGACATGTGTGTGTTCATGTTCATGTGACTTCGAGTTGGGTGCAGTGTTGTCCGGGGGATAATCCGATCCTGAGCCCATGTTTCACCAAGCCAACGGGGGCAGACCCCGCTTTGGAACCTCGAAACCTGCCAGGGCCCGCAGGTGTGCCTCCGAGCGCGCGGGGGCGAGCGCCCGCTTGCCCTGTCCTGGTAGGGAGAAAGCGGAGATATAGAGAGAGTGAGAGAGAGCCAGCAATAGCCAAGGGGGGCAACCCTCTTGTCCCTAGCCCTGGCGAAAGAGCCAGCAAGAGAGAGAGAGAGAGAGAGAAAACAGGGTCCCTCATGCCCGGTGGAAGAAGAAAACAGGCACATTGGGCGGAACAAGTATGTGTAGGGGCTGCACGAACCCCGGGCCACGACCCGCGTGAACCAGTGGGTGTGAGTGTCGCAGAGACTATCGCAGCTTCTTTTAAGGGTCTGTAACTCTGGGCCGCGACTCTGGCTTTGCAGCTTTGCGTCCTTTGCTGTGCAGGGCTCGGCCGTCCAGAAAGTGTACTTCGTCGCTGCACCCTCAGCATTCCTCAGCCCGTTCGGCTTGCTTTGTTGGCCTAAGCATCGATTCGAAATATCGGTTCAGGCACAGGCGAGAGAACTCGCCAATGTGCAGATGCAACGGCAAGTGCGTCTGCGTGCATAAATGTTTACATGCCCACAATTGCCCACATTTGGCGAGAAAGACATGCACAAGATCAAAAAAAGGGCATGTGGTGTGCATCAGCGTGCTTGCTGGCGCGTATGTGTGTGTGTGTGTGTGCGTGTGTGTGTGTGTGTGCGCTTGCCTGCGTGTGCACATTGCCATTCTGCCTCTTTCTCCCCCTCCCTCTCTTCCACTCACCTTCGCTCCCTCGCTGTTTTGCTCGCTATATCTACTCTATGCTTCAGCCTGACGCTTCCCTGTCTTTGTCCATGTCTCTCTCTCTCCCTCTCTGTGTCTCCTCTCTCCGTATCTCTCTCCCTCTCTCGTTGTCTCGCTCTCCATGTCCCTGTGTCTCTGTCTTTCTCTCTGTCTAGTTTTTTTTTGTTTTTCTCTCGCTCTCTCTGTCTCTTAGTCGTTCTCTGTCGTTTTCTGTCTCTATCTCTGCTCAGCCTCTGTCTCTGTCTCCCGGTCTCCCTGTCTCGCTGTCTTTCCGTCTGACTCTCTCTGTCTCTCTGCCTCGCTCTCTCTTTGTCTCTCTCTCTCTCTCTGTCTCTCTCTCTCTCTCTCTCCCTCTCTCTCTCGCCCCCTCTCTAGACTCCAGACGTCCCGCTCTGGCTCATTCTTGCTCCCTTGCAACTTTCACACTCGCTTTCCAGAGTCCGCCAGAGGTCATGGGAAACATGTTCAATACCCCTTTCGAGATCCACAGACGGTACGACCTCAAAGGCCCCGGCTTGAATTGGAACTCTCTTGGCTTCGCCGTTTGCTGATCAACGGTTCTCTGACGGACCGTGTGGGGTGATGTTGTCAATGGTCGTTGGAGCTGTAGCCCTGTCATGAGCGTCCTGCTGTCTGATTAGTCGTTGCGTGGGCAAAGTGAGCGTCTAGCAGTCTAGGATGCTAGCATGCTTTTGTCTGTCTCTCTCTCTCTCTCTCTCTGCTGCGAGGAATCAGATTTTTAACTGATTCTGGTGTCCTTGTTGCGGGCAGATTTTGAGATAGTTTGCTTTGTAGCCAGCTCCCACGATCGTGTTTCGATTGATTTACATTATGATGCTTCGAGCCGGGTGCAGGTTCTTGGGTCGGCCGTGTCACGAAGGAGGAGGACAAAGACCCGTCAGTTGCCCTCAAGGACACGCAGACCAGTCGTCTTTTGTGAGCGGCCTGCGAAGACTTCTGTTGCGTGCCGTGGCAGACGAGTCGCGCACCCCTTGCGCTGCAGGATGTCGATTTCACAAAGGCCAATGAATCCATCCTGGTTGGTGCCGAACGGAAGGCAAAGCTTGCGGCGCAGATCGAGAAAGACAGCCTGGGACCAACTTGCGACCTCGCGCTCGCGAGCACCGCGCCATGCGTTTGCCAAGGCATCTTCTTGCGGGACAATAACATTATAGATTATTCCTTGCTGTTGGGCGTCTACTTGCTGGAAGCTCGGAAGTCTGGGGGTGAGCAGAGCCTTCTTATAGCTTCAGCCTTCGCTGGCCTCTTATACCGAGGCTTGGTGGCCCGTCTCAGTCCACTGAAGAGAAAGGCGGCGCCCTCTCGTGTTTAATTCCAGATCCACCTTGAAGTCACGTGCGGCGCAGGCGAGCACCCGGAGAGCTGCATGGGGCCTGCCTCCTGGACAAACTCTCCGCGCATGGATTTCTTGGCCTCTGCAGCTTGGATCGAGTCAGGCTGAGGGGTGCCTCTGCAACTGCGCAGATGGCAACTGGAGCCACGGCGGGGCACTGAATGGCTTGGAAGTCGTCTTCGTTGTTCTGCCCTGACTACAGTGCGTGCGGATAAGGTCCGCATGACTTCATCGGACGAATTGCACGGCGAGGCCTGCTATGCCCACACTCCATACATCATTTTCGCACATGCGAACTCATGTGTCGCGCAGGTTCCATTCCATCAGGCCCACATGGGTGGCATGCTGTCCTCTGACCAAAAGGCCTTTGGTCACGCACGAGCGGCAACAACAGCAGTGTGTAGATCGCGGGCAGACAGGTCTTGTACTTTTTGGGCATCATTGACATCCTGACACCGTACGACAGCAGAAAACACTTGGAGCATTGGTTCAAGGACAGCCTTTCAAGAACTCATGCCTGCCGCCAGTTTCGGAAACGATCTTGTAACACGACATACCTGGATGTCAGGCACTGCGCTACGACCGCAAAGGGGTTTCGTGCTGCCCTCCTGCCATGTACGCGGAGCGGTTCAGTTCTTTTTTGAAGAACTGTATACACTGAGAGGCATATTGCTACATATCATGTTGTTTATTCCCTCTCTAAAGATGGATTGTACTTGTTAGCATGCAGCCTGCAGCAATAAGTGCCCCCATAAGAAACCCATATCTTGTGAGCAAACTTAGTGCTGTCCGAGCTCGATGAAGCTCACAATTCACGTTTCACTTCTCAGACTTTGCATCGAACCTTTCCGTGCCATTCGTTTAGGAACGAAAGGCCAAATCATTCTCGGTGCATGGGTGGCCATGGCTGAAATGTCGCTGCAGAGAAATCCTTCAACAGCCTCACAGCCTCTGTCGCTGAGTGCACCTGTGTAACAAGAAGTAGCACCGTCATGCACATTGCCACTCAACAGTGTCTAGTAGGATCTTCATGTTCGCTTCAGTCCCGGCAAACTTCAATGACGGTTTGCCAAATTCGGTTTCACCTTGTCATGTAAAGGCCGTGGAGCATCTCAGAGCGCTGACAAAGCACGCAGGACATCTGACAAGGTTGGATTGCCCCTTGCATGTTTTGGTCACCCTACTGCGAGATAGGTTTGAGAAGAGCAGGTGCGTGCCGAAAGACATAGCAAGCTGCTGCTGTAAACCTTCGCAGTAGCCGCTGCTCGGCACAGAGCCAGAACGATGTACAGGCATTGCTACCGCGAACATCAGCCACCTTCGCACGCTCACGCGTGGTGGTGTGCTGCCCGCACCGATGGAAAACTCCTGCTGTCTCAACTAGGGGATGCTGAGTGGAGTAGGCTGCTCTGGTGCTGCATCGACTAGTGGATGTGACACAGTGCAGTGGGTGTTGTGCACTTCAAGGAGTGGCCAGCATTTATCTGATTTATCACATGCTGAAATATGACGAGGATGAGATCCCACAGAATGCTATGCTGCTGCACTTTCACAGTAGCGTGTCCTAGCACCTCGGACACCACCATGTAACAAGCTAGTGATCAGGAGTTCAGTTTTACGCTATAGACTAGTGAAATCAACTGTGATCGCGATGGCTGGGAAGAGGCAAATCTCGGAGTCTCAGCTTGAGGAGCACCTAGCCTGGTACTTGACGAGCAGACCTACCCCGATCGGACGACTAGAAGCGGAATTCGGGCACGAACAGTGTCCGGAAAAACAGTATTCCAGGCTTCACGAACTCCGACGGGCGCGAGTCGGTACAGCCGATGCGACCAACTCGATAGATCTCGGTCAACTCATTGACTACCTAGAGGCCGAGTTGTACGACAAGGACCTGAAAGAGCGAGCTGAACAGTATGAAGACGCTGTGCGCAGCGGCAGAGCCATCCCGGAATTCACTTTGTACAGCTACCAGCTGGAAGGCCTACGGCTGGTTGCAAAAGCCAATGCACATGTCAAACTTGAAAGAGAGTCAAGCAGTAGCGCACGCGTCAGCCAAGCTCGGATGAAATTTTATCCCTGCAGGCCAGGCAGCACTAGATGCATACGTCTCGCAGATTGTCGCCGCGGTCAGGGACTTCCCGTTTCTCCAGTTGGCAGGTGGGAGGGCGGCAGGCAGCTGGATTCGCGACGAGCTTGTCGCTCCCGTTTTTGATGGCCATTGGGATTTCTATTCGAACCGGAAGATCAATCACGGCTTTGACTTGAACCAGTTCTACCTACTGCTTGACGGGGAAAACATGCTAATTCAGAGGCTGAGATATGCTCGCAAGACCTTGCAAATGTAGTCAGGATGTGAGCACCCTACCTTGGGCTGCAGGATGGTTTGCAGCTGGCTGGAAGACGACGTAATGCTGACGTCATCTAGGAACATTTTCAGCTTGTATTGCTTCCTTGACGCAGAGACGTGATCGAGAGTTGCCCTTGATGGCCAGTCAAGCCAAGCAATGGCTGGTGCACAGGGCTCCCGTGTATGGCAGGGACAGAGAAGCCCTCAGTCGACTGCCCACCATAGCAGACCCCGCTATGGAAATTAAGGTTGGCGATGGGTGTGAAGCTAAGCTTAAAATTGGAGCTTCTCAGTCTGCGGTAGCTGGTCGTAGGCCGAGCAGGCCATCCAATTTTGGTTTGCGCAGGTGAGCTAAAGCTATTTCCGTGTGCACGGGATCAATGGTCCAGGAATCCAAGGAGGCTTCCAAGGTAATGTCCCATTGTTTTGACAAGTACTTGCAGATCTCAGTTGCATCTCCCGCACTGCATCGTGCGATATCATGTGCACTGTAACGGAGAAGTTTGGGTCGGGGCTTTGTGGGTAGCAAACTGTGGACAGTTTGCAGTGGCATGCTTCAGCCATGGCGGCCTGCAGCATTTCAAACGTGAAGGCCTCCTTGGGTTCCTCACAGCCTTCAGGCTTTGCTCGAGCTTCCAGCTGTCTTGCTTGGCAGGTATTAACACCCACGTCTGACACTGGCCCCGAGCCATGCAGAGTCTCTCGGCCAATTTTTGAGGTTGGAGCTAAAAGATGCGAATGTGGGAAGTGATGGTGCAAGGACTCTGCCAGTGTGGTCCTTATCAGGTCTCTTAGCAATAGTGAAGGTGTGAGGGGGGGACCTTTTGCACAACTCAAATGATGGATTCTCCCTCAGCTTTCGGGCCGTCTCAAGTTCAGAAGATCGAAGTGACGAAGTGGCAAGGTCGAAGATGACTTGGTTTTCGAGGCCGGTGTGCTTTTGTTTGTGTAGTTTAGGCCTAGCTTCAAAGGCCAACACCATTGCCGCTTCCGTCATTAAATTATAACAAGGTTACGGTAGTGGTGTCAGGTTGTTGTAACATCTTTGTATCGAATTTTTACGGTTGGGGCCATTGAAGGTTTATCATCCTGGGCCCACTGTCTCACTTCGGGCTGCAGGAGGGTCAGACTTGAAAGGATGCGGGCACACTGTTTATTTTGCAGACAAGTGCGGCTCCATTTCATAACCATGTGAGGACTCCCCTGTCCACCAACGCAAGCATTCATTGCTCAAAAGATCTTCGAGAGTTGTGGAAAATGCGTCGTGGTGACTATGTGGCAGGTTACTCTGGACGTGATGCAGGCACTGAAGGAAGATCTGCTCTTCCGCTGCATGTACGTGACAGATTCAGGCTCACGTGCTGTAGTAGACCTGGAACTCGCTGACTGCCCGGGCTGGTCAGCCTCTGGCAAAGACGTGGAGCTAGAGTCCATCGATGTCGGAGATGGCCCGGGCGTGCGACAGGCCTCGGATGGTCGGGATGCCTTTACATTCATGAGAGGGCAAGTGCAACATGGACGAAGGGAGTGCAGCGCTTCCGCTTCGAGTCCAGCCCTCCAGCTCAGTCGGCCATAGAGGCCAGGCGTCTCTCAATCATTGACGTTGTTCCTGATGCACTGGGCAGTCCTCTGTTCTTGCATCCATGACGAGTTCCATGACGGGTCCTTTTCAGTTTTTTTCTTGCCAGGCTAGTGGTGGTCCGCTTGAAGTTGTCGCAACCCCAGGATGGGCACTCACGCCACACAGTGACAGTGAGCTTCGGTGCCCAGGCCGGGCTTTACCTTTCCGCCTTGTACAGAGGCCGCGATGCCCCTGTGTCATGCTTGCATCCGTGTAGATCCGCGTACTGCGCGCGGAGGAGAAGAGTTCTGCAGGGTCGGCTACTATGTGCCACTTGGAGAGCAGAGAAAAGCAGAGAGGACGGCTTTGGCATCCTTTGGGAAAGCAGAGCAAGAGGCGCCACGACTACGACGACCCAGCGCTCCAGGAGAGTCTGTCGAAGCGGAGGTCATGACCTGAGACTGCAGCTACTACAGGAAGATCCGCCTTCTACTGTGGACTGGGCTCGTCTTCGTCGCGCTCGCGTCCAAGAGTGCCGGAGCATGCGGATTTTGCAGGCCATGTCTGCCATGTCTGCTGTCTCTCCGAGGTGCTGAGCGAGCCTTGTGTGACAAAGTTCCAGATTCCTTGGGACACAACTGAGGCGGTGGTTTGGTTACCTGCCACTGTACTGCCTTGCACAACAGAAGTCAGCTGAAGGCAGATCATGGGCGAAAGCGTGTTCGAGAGGAGGAAGGGAGAGACGGGCTTGTCATGCCTTGGCGGTCAAGTCTGCACACGACAACTCACAACTCTTTGCGTGCGTGCGAGGACGCCGGCCTTTGCGCAGGGGGGACATGGGTGGGCTGATCCTGCCACTTCTCGCCAGATGCGCCAAAAAGTGTTCATGCTGTATATGTCACCATCGGGTCTTTGCCAAGGAATCTGTTGACTGACCGAACCGCTTCTCAATCCAGCTTGGCTGTGCCAGCATCGCATGGGGGCATCTTTCACCCTTGCCGTTGCAAGGATATATCGTAGCCAGCATTGCGAGGGAGCTGTAGTAACCCTAATTAACCAACAGTCAGCCTACCGTGCTCGTATTACTCGATGACGACTGCGCATTTGGTCTTCGCAAAGGAAGATAAGCTTAGTTCAGACACTGATCAGATTCGCTTCCAAACCAACTTCTCTGTGTCATGACACCATAATACGGATTGACTGCTGCTGCGCCCAGCCGTGTGGTTGGGCCATGAAGTGACGTCTCGCATGGTGGGCCACCCAGCCTTGCACCACGGGTTGGATATAGACCAGTCGAACCCAGTCACTTGAGTTCAACGATTTTTGTGGAGTTTGGAATTTAGAGAGCCACCAGGGGCTCCAAGATTCTCGAGCTCCGCACGAACGATGGACGGAGATGCAGATGAGGTGGCCGATGTGTTTGCCTGAAGACTGCCTGGGATTGTGGGATTGGGCCGGATCGGGTGTGTGCATACCAAGTAGGAGGAAAAAAACTACGTGCCGGCTGTGTGTTGTCAAGAACGGTTTGACAGGCATCTTCGAATCAGACCTGCAATGCAGCAGCCAAGGCCAGGAAAGCGGCGAAACCAAAGAAGGACAAGCAGGCCAAGGCCAAAGCCGATGGGAAAGCGCTCGGCTGAGAGGTGTGTCGAAAGCATCTCAGGCGTTCGTTGCTGTATTGGAAGACCGAAATCAGCGACACTCCACAAAGGGTCAAAACGCAATCTTGTCAAACTTGTGGGTTTGCTTTCTGTCTTATCGCACTGTCGTGGGGGGCTTGCGCTTCAGGTCAGGCGATCTGGCTGGGATCCGCCACCGTTCAAGGTGTCAGCTGCAGACGTTCACGCAAATGCTTGGGAGCTACTGGAGATGCTCAAGGTACCTCCACGACTATGGCCCGGGGAGAGCTCTATGGTGGGCCTTCCGGACCGTCAGGAAAACGAGCGGGGATCTTAGCAGGGGCCGTTTGGCAAAGCAAAGCTTCCTGATTCCGATCTGAGCCACGTCATCCCCCCGGCACGTTTGGGCTCAAGAGACCGAGTCTTGCCTGCTCCTGGACTGCACCCCCGAGGTGGGCGACGAGCCATTTTCAGAATCAGGGGAACACAAGTCCCAAGCAAAGACAAACTCCAATGCGAAGCTCGAATCCTTTCGTAACTGTTCAAGAGGTCAAGAACTGGGTGTCTTCTCGCAAAGAAGCCAGAAATCATGAGCCTTGCTACGCCAGTGAAGAGTTCCTGTCTGAGCTGCCCTTGACACTGACTGCAGAGCCGTTTGGCAGATGTGGCATCGCAGCCACTCGTGTGAAGCTGTGCGCAGGCCCTGTCCTGTTCAAGTATGCGGGGTGCACACAGATCGCCGCTTGGGCAGAACTGCTCATCTCAAGACATGCTCTGTGCGGGCGCATGCGTCACGTGCGGTTGAACAACTTACTAGCAGGAGATATCACAAACTTCTGATTCCGGAAGGTTAACATGTAGTGTCGTCTCTGTGAGTTTGTGAGGATATTTTCCATTACTGGTCATTGAAGTTCGTCAGTTCTCGGTCCTGCAACAGCATGGAACTACAAGGATCTCCAATGCAGGAGATGGAAGCAGGAGAACCCCAACACAGCAGTCATCTCGCAGTGGGAGTTTGTGAGACACACACACTCAAATACAGAGACATACTGCATCAGCGGCGCCACCGACAAGTCGTCGTAGTGGCAGAGGTAGCCAGTAGTGGCAGTTGTCGTCGTTATGGTAGTGGTAGCAGTCGTAGTGGTAGT